TATAATGAATATTTGACGATTTCTCTGTTTAATCAACTGTATACTAATATTACAGATCCTCCAGGTACTATACTTTATGTCAGAGAGCTAATAGGCAAACTATCAAACATCGCATGGGTACATTGGATCTATCTCGTTCATCATTTTTGTTTATTTTATTAATTGTGTTCCATGAAAAATGAAATACAGATAATTTATTAGAAAGCAAATATTTGCGATCCATTAAATATTTCATACAGCTTTTGTATGTTATCTCGCAACATGATAGTTCTAGTGCCTCAATTTGCTACAAATTATGACAATATCTGACTATGTACTTCTTCTCTATTGTGCCAGTTTTATTTCTGTTTTTTTATCTTTTCTGTTATTATAAATGCTGTGAAACGATGGGTCGTTATTTGGATCCTAATCATAATCCTTATTCCTTCTTTCATAGTGCAACGCGTTATTAAATAAAAAATTATGTTACAGCATTTATTGCATTCAAATAGTCTTCGGGTGCTCAATTTTTTATTACTCTGAGGATTTAAGTCTTAATGTAATAATTGTCCAAGCTGGTGTCAAGTACTTTACTTCAAAAAGGGAGGAGATTCTCAAATCGGTTGATTTTTATGTTTATTAAGTTAGAACTTCGTCATTTATTAATCGATATTTAAAACTCTTTTTGCACTGTGTTTGGTTTAGCATCCATGTCGAGACTACATATTATTTTCATTGGACTTTGTACTTCGGAGATATATCAGGGAACTCCTCAAACCGCCGAAAACTCGAACTCCCGGTGCCGGCACCAATGAAATTGTTAATTTTAAATACTGACTTATCATGTGCACCGCGATGAAGGGAAATATCGTGAAGAAATCTGCATGTTTTCGAAATAATAAAAAAAATATTTCCAAGATATGTGAAGTCCGCAAATCCGCAATGGGGTTGCGTAGTGGACTACCCTCTATATAGGCCTTTGCTCAACATTGGGACATGTAAAGGCAATATCCTAGTGTAAAGTAACAACTACTTTACTTTTTTGTCATAAGAACGTACTTGTTTGTTTTAAGTATTATTTTGCTCTGATCCTACGCTGGCTAAAATACCAGAAACTAATCCCTTTCCCTGTTTAAAACGACTGTCTTAAAAATATTTAGTTTATTAAAGAAACATTTTTAAAAGGCTACAGTTACAAAACAACGTAGGTAAGCAGAAAGTTTTCTTTCTTAGTAACTTAACAGCGACGCAACCGCTCGTTATCTGGTTCTAGAATCCTTACACAATCAACGCACCTTACACGTTCTTAATGTATTTCTCTCTTAGCATGTTGTTGAAGTCGTGATAGCTTATTTTTTTCATCATGTCATAAGTTTTCTTACTTTACGCTGGCCTGTGAAATCGTGGTACTTTCCCAAACAAGCATGCCCGTTGGTGCTGGTGTTATTTCAGTTTCATTTAATTTAATTTAATACCTTGTGTGTCACTGTTAATCAAAACATTTTAATAAAAGAGATTTTAGGTGTCCGTTAAATAAATATAGACATATTGGCATGATTTTTCGATTAAAAATCGGTTAAATTTCGTCCACATTCAAAACATGGCAGTGTCAAATCTTATGGTTGACGTATTGAAATTTGGTTTTTAATTTAAATTGTAGGTTAAAATGGAATCAATCTTGATCATCGCACTCACGACGTGTTAGTTAATCGATCATGCCGACTTGAAATGAAGTGAAAACACAAATTATACCTGCAATATAAATGCTAATTCTAAAATCATAAACATCACTAATGTAATCATAGCTACTCAATTTTATCGCCTGTAAATTATTATTCGTGATACTTTTGATTATTACGATTGACTGCAGCGATCGAAACCGATGAAGGGTTACATTTAAATTAGTTTAATGCGGTAGTAACTTGTTTATTATTTAATTTCCTTAAACCGCGGCCATCTCTATGGGGAAAGTTAGCAAAATTTCCATCGAATAAAAAAGTCAATCGAGGAAATCACCATTTTGAAATAAATCTTTGAACGGAAGGAAATTAAATTCAAAATATATAATATGTAATCAGCACTCGGAGAAGTTAATTATCTAGCGTCAGATTTATACTTATTATTCAAAATCCATTTGACAAATTAACTAATTGACTGCCATTGTATTAATACTAATTGAGCTGACTAAGCGCTCTGAGTACGGTATTAAGATTGTTATTATAAACCAGCTTAAACTTGGCGGATTTGTATTCGATGAGATGGGCTTAAACAAGCCGCTTTGGGTAATCATAATAGGCGATATTACCAAAGCGTATTTTTCAATAGTCAAAATATCCTCATCAGTTTGTTCCACTTCAAGGATCCTAAGATTTTCATTTATAAACAACATTTACTCCAGGACATAGTTGAGAGCCATTTACAACATTCTTCGACTCGAAATCTTTTGTACGAATTAATACGACCACGCACGTGTTCTAATTCGCTCCTGACCAATTAATTAATCAACCACTCTACATTTAATATCATTCACTCTACTCTCGTACTGTCTGTACTCTGGTCATTATGGCAATAGTTATGAACAAGACGAAATATTCGTACAATGACAACTTTTCTATTGTCTCAACCTTAGCCCTTAAGGCTTATGTTTATAGGTCATAAAGATTTAAAAATTCTTCCTTATACGTCTTTAGATCATTACAGTGTACTGACTTTAAGCTTTATTCATAAGATCTTTCCATAATTATTATTCTCCTAATTTTTTTTGTTTTTCTATACCCCGAGTATAATCAGCTTACAGTCAATTGTAATTAACGTTGCTAATCCTGGCAGCATTTCCAACAGGCAGACAGTAAAGAGAATAAAAACTTGGCAATCTATAATAAGTCCAAACTTAAATAACATCCATTCCGCCTCGCCATACTTTTGGTCTCGTCTACATCAGAGAATAAATTAAAGAGCGCGAAGAAAGGTAATAAAATTTTATGCAAATTATGCAATTTGTAGTTTCCAGTGAAATGTTATAATTTCGTAAGAAATCGGTTGCTTTGTGATTAGATTTATTAACGCCCATTAAACACTTTATGGAGCCTAACCAACGTCATTAATTCTACTTTAATTTACCTCGAAATGCGCCATTAGTGAATGTCATACTATCTAATTACTGTCAAGACAACTTTCTTATCTATACTTATTATAACAAAATTATTTATTTAGGGAATGTTACTGCACTATGAAATTACTATACATGATCCAAATATTTCATCACCGATGAAAAGTCATATTGTGTTTTTGGTTGGAAATCTAGGTATTTGGTCGTCAAGTCGATGGATGATGGTGGAGGTATTAACATTATTTTACGGGCATTATGCGACAAAAATTTACAATTTGTAATTGTAAATTGTCTAATATTTACTATTCGTATTATCCAAATTTTGATATGGAAAACATAAGGCAAAATTTGCGAAGCAAATAACTTGACAGAAATATTGCATCTAAATATTCCATCGTATATCATCCAGGGTCCATTAAATCTAATATTTTCGTTAGCTCATATGAAAAGTCGTTTAAATAATCAAAAGTAGTAACTTGTAAGAATATATTTTCTTTTAAAATAATTTACTATACATTCGTCTTAACACTTAGCGAGTAAAAGCGCGGTGAGTCAAAACCAACGATTTCATGGCTAATAAGCGAGTTGACTCGGTAGCACTGCGTTAATTAACAGCCAAGACCTGGCCTCACTAATTACGGATAATTCATACTCCTAATTCAGATTTCGTTACAACCTGCAGTCTTTTTGCGGAATCGGCCCAAAGAATTTAATTTCTAAACAATGGAATAATTTTATTTGTTGATTATTAAAAAATAAAAATGTTTATATTTATACGTGAGTGTTGGACTATTTACAACGTCAGCAGTTTGAGCCCGTATTTTCCGACGTAGTATTCACGAGCATTGTGATTCTAAGGAAATTGGTGAGACACGTTTTGTTTGTAAATAAACTTTGACAAATGTATGTGAAACTTTCCTTCTCTTTCTATGTTTATTTACAGATTTTCTTGTACGATACGAGCGATTATCGCTCACGTAAAGAGCTGAAATAGAGTCGTTGAATGATGTATCACAAATCGTATTTCGCTTTATTTTCTGTCCTAACGCAATAAGTTCTTTGCTGATATTACATCTGCTCTACTCTATTTGATACCCGTTTTAATGTCATTTAACAATATTAGCAATGCTGTTAAAATTTTAAGGTAAAGTTGAACTTATTATTATTACTAAAATGTGAACTCGACTAAAACAAATAATAACTCTATCATAGGTTATATTTAATTTTACGAAGTATAATGAATAATACTGATATTGTTATAAACTATTTTTGAATCGTGTATGTATATTTAAAAAAGACATTAAATCCAAGATTTTCTTACGTTCCCATTTTTCTTCGAATTCTTTGGATCTTTTATAAAACAAAAAAATACATAAATTTAGATTTTAATTTACACAGTTTACAGTGTGGCCTTAATTTCTTTTAGAAACAACATCAACAGATGTCGGCGTTAATAGGCTTTGGAGTAAGACTAACCGTGTTTTACAATAAATTGGGTTACGACATCGTTAATTTTTAGAGTCGCCATCCCCTTTAACCTATTTACGATTAATTTACGAAACATAAAAGCAGTTTCGCGTTGAACGTTTATCGCGCTCTCGATCCCGTTTCGCTAACCGTGATAGATTTTATATCTGTGCTTAATCGGGGAGAAATTCGATTTAGACGATGGGAAAAAGTTGGCAACTTTCGTTGGCTTGCGCAACCCCCTACGCGAAGGGACTACGAATAACGTCAACGGATCGTATGCAACGCGCCGTGCGACGAGTGCGGACGCGCGGGCGGCGTCTCTCTGACATTGACTCTCGCATGGCCGCCGGCCTGATAGCGCCGACACACGGCCGCCGCCCGCCACGACGCGCGCGCGCATTCACGCTCCGCGAACGCGAAAGCCCGCGCCGGGCCGCCGGCAATGCCCGCAGCGAAAGTGTTCGGCATATTCGGCGGGCAGAGGCCGACCGAGAGGCAGCCACCCGCCCCGGCCGCGGCCCACAGCAGGGCGATGCAAAAACTGTACAGGACCTTCTCAGTAGGCGCGGGAAACCCGAGCGAGCCGAAGTGCGGGAAAGTGACCGCGATCGCCGCCTGCATAGAGAAACGCATCGTCAGTGAACCGAGCGCCAGGAACAACAGTGATAACGTGCAAAACAATACGTATGTCCCCGACGTCGGCGTGAACAGTGTGAGCGGTGTGACGGACGCCCCTAAGAGGCAGCGCGCGTACGAAAATGTCCAAATAAAAACAGTGCTTCGGGACAAACTGCTCGAGGAGACGAAGGGCTACTCGTCGATTTACGAAAATATTATAATTGTGGATAAGCAGAAGGAAGTGAAAACTAAAGGCGATTCCAGCGCTGAATCTAAACTTAATAGAGCGCTAGAATCTTTCGACAAAATATTGTCAGAGTTTTCTTCAAGCACATCTTTGACTGGCGATGTAAATGGTAATACATTCATTGTGCCTAAATTACAAAAGTCTAAAACTTGTAGCATAATCGAGTCGCGTTGCATATTGAAAAAATCCAATTCGGACCCGGAGACGGACCACAAATTACGTAATAAAGTGACAAGAAACAAATCCATAGACAAAACAACGAGCCTGTGGAACCTCGACGACATGAAGGGTAAGGAATTATCTGCTCCCATAATGCCTTTAACCACAATACACAACGACAAAATTAATTCGGACAAATACGCAACTTATAAAATTTCTTCTAAAACCACTTCGCGTCCCAACTGTTTGAAAACAGAGGAACTTAAGAACCTTGACGTGAAAACTAGAATTCTTAAAAAGACCTTATCAAATCCACCATCAACACCAGTCCCAGTCATTCCAAAAACTAAATCAGTGCCAAAAAAATTAAACGAAACGAAAAAAATACGCCCAAAAGTATGCACCGAGAAATCACGATCGAGTTTGGACGCCAAGGAAATGCCAAGATCTCAAATGCAGAAGGCAAAAAGCGTATGGGAGATAGGTAATGAAGCTGTCATTTCGACAAACCTAGAAAGAACCAAATCAACAACTTCTATCGCGGGCTCTCCGAGTAAGATCCCGGTGATTAGGAGTCAAATGTCGCAGAACAAATTCAGCAGCGCCAGAGCGCTGTTTTCTCCCACTCCACTTGATCTAAACAATGTAGACCAGGCCAGAGAGTGTGCTCAGAAAAAAAGGCCAACCGCGACAAGAAAAACCACAGAGAAATTCGAACCAAAGCAAACAAAACAAAAGTCCCAGCTTAATTTAAAGGCGGACTCGAAACGACAGTGTGACAAAAGCAAGAAAGAGATTACCGACAAAAAACCAACGTCCTCTCCGAAATTATCGATAAGGGATTACTCGGAAGAAATAAACGCAGTGCGAGCAAAGCTGCAACAGAAGAAAATAAACAACAAAAGAGACCTCGTCGTCTCGCTGCCGGTGACGAAACGAAATGAAAACGCGCCGGAAGCAATCGATTCGACCCTGTCACCTGTCAAGTACATTGTGAAAAAGCTGGAATACAAGACCGCTTTGGAATCAAAGGCGGACGCCGCTCAGTTTTTGAGCTGCAAGGTGATCCCGCCGGTGCACAAGGAGGTGTGCGTAGCGAACACCACATTCCACAACCACCTGAGCACACTCGTCGGCCGCCAAGTGAGATGCATCGAGCCGCTCGACGACGCGAAGACGTGCTCCCAAACGGAAAAGATGGATTTGCACAAGCACGCCATGGAGAAGATATCCGACACGCATTCCGACTGCAGCGACGACTCGGGCCACGTTTCCAACGAGACGGCTTTCGACAACGTGCTGGAGCTGAGCGGCGCCGACGAGGTGGACTGCAAAAGCTTCGCGCCGCAGCAGTTCGGGATGGCGTTGCCGGGGAGCGCGCAGAGCGTGTGCCCCGCAAGGCCCGCGAGGCGCGGCGGGCGCGGCATCGAGGTCGCTAGCGGTACCCGAGCCGCCGACGATGCGAAAGCGGACGCACAGGTACGCGACACTGTTAACGTATCGCCGTGCACGTATTACCGAATTGTTACAGGTGCTCGTTCGCTGACGACGATCGCTGGTGCGACCTTACTCTCGTAATTGCGATCTTGATCGTGAACTCACTGATAAATTTTTCGTTTTACTTTTGTATTTCCTGCGTGCGAAACTCTGTTGAAGTTATGAACGTGTTCAACTTTAGTTGTCTGCCTACACTACTGCGGGTGTTACCCTGGCTAGGGTAATCTACGACCTAACCCGTTAAGTGCCAAACGATGCGAGACATCTTTTTTGTTGTTATATCACGTGCAATCCGCTCGCGTACTCTTGATCGATTACCACAGCTTCATGTTTACGCTACACTTCCTCCGAAAACACACTATTTAACATTCCTGGTTTACTTAAGTAGGTACCTTATACGTAGCAGGTCGTCCACCCCTGGTAGTTTCATTGACTATTCGAATGTCGAAGTTATGCAAGCATGTTTCAAAAGAAAATAGATGTGCCGTGGACATTAGCATGCGCATACGCGACTTAACAATGCCATAGTTCATTATGAATCTGTCGTCTAGAATTTCAACGAGGTAAAAGAGCCTTAGCTTATGTATGATAGGCATGCAATATGCGTAAATGAATACTTCGTTTAGTAAAACAAAGAAATAATCGAATTTCAAAATCGAAATTCTCTTTTTTTTTTTAATTGAGAACGCAGTCAGTGACCATCCAGTCCAGCTGGTTCCCTAATGATTACCTCACTTCATGATTATCACCGCCATCATATAACCTGTTTCGTTTTTTTTATTACCAACTAAAAGCCAGGACCGCGGTTTCCATCCATCTTCACCATTTGTTCTTTACACTGGTCGTTTATTAGGCCGTTTGCGTAGTTGGTACTGACACCAATTTATATTTTCACCACTGTTTGAGATCTTTGGCAAAAGTATAATCAATATCAAAACACAGCTGAAACGTGAACCCAAAGGCTATAAGCAAGGTTTGATGCTCAAACCTCTCAAAGCGGCGAAATCTTCAAATTCCTTGTCACTTTACATAATTCATTTCACACGTAGTCATACACTATTAAATAAGAAATCTCGCGGCAATCGAGATTTGGCGGCAATATTTTTTCTTATGCAACATCCAATCAAACTATTCAAAAGGTGTGTTTGATTAACATGGAGCCATCTTTTACGTAACTTCCTAAAGAATGTGCTTTTAGTTCCTCTTTGTGTTTTACGAGCGCCGTTCCTTGCTTTTATTAGTTGCATAACTGATTCGGTATCTGATGGATGAAAGGAAGGATTTTGTATCAAATATTCAGCTGAGATCACTTTTATTGAAAGTATTGATAAATGATTTATGAGATATAGGACTTTGCCTCTTATTTTTATCGGATATACTGAAAAGCTACGTATTTTACATATCACCGAAAGAATCATAATACATGGCAATGACTAAATAGCGTTATATTGATATAACGCTATTATAAAAACAAAAATTACATAATAACTTGTTGCACATTTTTTTAAATTGATAATATTAAAACATAATTGTCTTCTAGGTTTAAATATCGGATATGCACCTGCATAAAGTTTAAACGAAATAATGGAAAAGCTGATCAGACGCGAGTAAAATCCTACAAATGGGTTCAACGAAACGTGTTGTATCGTAATCTGCTTAAAGAGCGCCGATGTCATGCTGAATGCGGCATTTTACGATATCGCTGCCGTTTCGTGAGCGCTCATCTTTTTATTGCGGCATTCCGATGTTCGATCGCTCGTAACACGGCCCGCGGCAAGTGCATGCGTTTGTTTACGCCCGGACTTTCTCCTGACCGTACGGGCCCACTTGTGACGTGCTGTGACGTAAATAAAGATCAACTCGTTAATCGGACCGGGTGGTCGCTGTTACTGTTAGTTTAATCACCCATACCACTCGTGCAACTCTTCTACTTCGGTATGCGCTGTCCAAATTCGAAGGTTTTCGCTCCTCATCCCACCTCAGCGATGGAGCGGAGGATAGCTCTATCGCGATTCCTTAAAATGGTAGGATTACACGTAGCTATAAGTGCTACACATTTATCACCGAGCTCGTTTCCTGACAAGATGGAAAGCTATATTTTTTCATCGTGAGCTATAATTATACGATTTATTTGCACTTGATCTCCGAAGCTGTATATGTTCGCGAGACAATTACAAAGTCACTAGGCTGTCGTTGATTTACCAATTAATCATATACTGTACCGTGTACGATAGTACTCAGGCTTACTATCATAATCCAATTAATTTTGTGCCAATTGGAGTCTTATCAATAAGTCATTAGGACTGAACTTCGCAAACGGACGATTTCAACGCTAGCCATGAGCTGTACGAAGCGCGGGCGTAACATTTCTAACTTAACACATCGAATTTATGCACGTGCGAACATCGCAAAAAGCAATTTCCTTTTCGCCATATCGCCCCGCGTCACGGCCACAGCGCAAACGTGTTCAAGTTTAACCGCCAATAAAATCGCTCGAAAGTATCAGGTTCGTCATGTCGCCGCGGCACTCCGATGCACTTTCTACTCCGACGTCCGACGGCGATTGTGTCGATTGTAATTAAAACAACTCTCCACTCCACTCTCATAACACTACTCGTAATTATTGTCTGTAATATTGAGCCGCTTGTATAATCTCAAGGGTGTTCGTTTGCTTTAAAGCAAACACTGCACCGCTTGATCAACCAACATCATATTCCTTTGTTACACATCTTACACTACTTTATTATTTGTGCATGTGTATAGAAATTAAAACATACTGTCTGGCACACTAACGAAATTACACTTCTCTCTACTAAGGGTGAAGAACCCTTTAAATTCAATCAAAGACAATGCGCAACAAGAACGACAACAAATCACATAAGAGTTTTATACCACCAAAGGTTTTTCAGGATCTGATTAGTCTCTACAATGAGCCGGTGATGTATGGGGGTTGTCTTTTTAGGAAGTAAGAGGTGGTGGCTGTTGGTATGATCATCTCAGCATCTCCTTCACTCTTTAAAAGACTGATAGAGCGACAATAATTTACGTTGTACATAAAGGCACGTCAATCCCCATTCCCTGTCGTCGGCGCGAAGCTTCTCCCGTCAGTGACAGAGGTCCCCTCGACCGCTTCTCTACTCTATTAATCTCCGCGATGGATTGCCATTCGCTCTGATGCCAACACGGCTGGTCACGTACTCGCCGGTAATTCCTATGGGCGTCAGGTGCCCGGCACGTAGACGCTTTCGCCGGCGCGTGCGCCGACTCTCCGTAGTGGTGACGATGCGATGGCGGCATTCGATTCGAACGCGGGCTCAGATCCTCACCGGGGAAGCTGGAGCCGGCTTTTTCAAGTTATATACTTCTTTTGACGCGTATGAAAAACAATATTAGAATTAAGATTTTACGAAGCGCGCGCACACCGTCATGAAAATTGCAAGGTTGGTGCAAAGCGACCAGCTTCACGGTATTACCATTCTTCTTCTTTTCGAGTCAAAAAAGCTAGTTAGATCTTGTTCGACCAGTATTTGGGAACATCCACCGCAGCAGAGTTGGCTTCAAGCAGGTCTTCGTGGGTGCAGGAGGAGGGACACAACGGGCATTGCAGCAGGTGGGCCATAGTTTGGACCTCGCCACAGTGACATTTATTGTCGTTGGAGAAACCCCACTTCACCAGGTGCTACCATGACAACCAATTACAACTTTTTGAAGTTCACCTATAATTCCAAGTCTTTTAATTAAACTGTTATCGATTCCATTTCATTTCTTTTCTTCTTCACAAGCAAGGAGTACGGGCACAGAGATGAAATTTTTTAGTTATTTTTCTTTTGTTACGCTTAAGAAGTATAACTTCTTAACTACGTACATAAGTACGTTTTTTTTTAATTCAAAAAGATGGAATACAAGCTGGTTGTTCATCCGATAATGTATTGGTAAACCTTTAGCATATAGGTCTCCGTTTATTCCACAAACCGGACCAAAATCAAAGGTTCAAATCTTGTATTTTACGAGTTTGGTCTGTGATTAAACTTGATCACTTTTCAATTCATGCTGCCGTAAACCTAGGTCCTGGACCGTTAAGCTCCCAGAAAAGTAGAAAACTAGCCTAAAAAAAACAGAAAGTGGTCGAGACTGTTGCACGATGATTAAAACCATGAAAAATTTGGGGCATGTTATGTCTCTGTAACGTAAATTGCAACCTTCTCTTGCTTGTGCACTTTATTTCAATACTATTTATTATGCTTACAATTGGTGTTCAATAAGATTATTTGCTGATATATAGTTAATACATCGATTTTGATGAGTTCTATTTTAAAAGTATGTGTCACATAACAAGTAATATGATTTTTTGATGACAATTTATTGAAAGTTTGTCTGAAGAATGTAATTAATAACTTTACGAATATTTTACGATGGTGAATATAAGAAATTATTCAATATTTTCCTACTACCTATATATGTTATTTAATACTAATATACTATTATTACTAATTAGAAACCATCATTGGTTTCTGTATTGTATTATAAATGTGATTGTCTATGACGGACAATAATACGCTCGTAAATTAAAAATAAAACTCTAGTTCCATGTGCTTTATTGCGCAATACGAAAGTGAATGTTGTGTTTCGGAGAGAAATATGATACTTACACTCGTTTCACTTTTTCCACCGCACGGTCATTATTAAAAAGTGTATCCATCATTTCGAACTGCCATTCATCGTTGTTTTGATTGCTAACACAACTATTCCATTATAATGAAAGCACAAGCGATTGTGCTCTGTATTGTAAGGTCATAAGGTATGAAATCAATATTTATATGGTATACCGAGAATAGGTTTCCAAAATCTAAAGAGAAATTATTTTACCTTTAACATACTATTTACTGTTGTAGAGCCAAGAAACGATTTATTCTGATGCTGGCTTGATTATTAGTCCCTTCCATAACCTTAAAATGACTTACAATGTAGAAGTATTTATGTCGTGTATGTATAATCTGTAAACTAACCGAAGTTAAATCAGTACTTATCAGATGAATCGCATGCTCGTTTGCAATCTTCTCCCCAAAAAACTACTCTTTATCATGTATTGTTAAATAATTTTCTTATCAAACTGTCTGTTGAATTTTTTAAATAAACTTCCGACCAGCCATGAACAATTGAATGTCTTCCCATCCCATATTAGATCAGCTATTTATCAATCCAACGTAAATAGTTTTATGCTGTAATATACCAAAAAAAGCCGTGTAATATGACGCAAATATCACTTTTCTGCATGAAATATTCCATAATATAACACACATATTTTTATTTCTACATGAAATGTCCCTATTACAATTTTCTCTCCCAAATTCATCTGTACGTAACTTTTAATCGTCGAATGTGAAGTTGTCAATTACTATCTCACTGTACGACCATTGGCAGCGAAAGTTTATTACCGATACAATAAGACCATTAGGCATGTGATTGACTACTGTAATTGCACGTTGCGTACAGACATACTCTTATTAAGGTGCACACATTGCAATATACGCGTACCACTCGGCTAGTGTGTTTGCCATTTCAGACTAAATCATTGCTTAGATTTAAAGTAAACAGAAAAAAAAGTATATTTGTGCTTGTGTACGCACGTATGAAGTTATACATCTTTAGCGTAACAAAATTACAAAAACTTTTATAAAAAGATTTATTTTATTTAAAGAGATTAAATTCAAATGGTAACGGTTTAATTAAATCTAATACCTTTAAACGAGCAATTCAAAGCACCTCAAGCGATTTTCATGAAATTTAGAACACTTATTTTTTTTACTTTTTTTTTTTTTCTATACCAAATCATTGCTTTTGTTATTTTTTATCTTTTTAATTTCCGGTCCTCCAGTTACTAACTTGTAATTATAGGTAAATGTCAAAATGTTGTTATTGGTTGCCATGGTAATACAACAATTGCTACCAACTTCATAATGTCGCCGTCGGTGTGCGCGCGCACTTTACTAATTTTACTCTCATAATTTGAATTTATTTACGTCCATATGAATTTCCTACAAAAACGGTTTTAATCGAATTTTAAGAATGTTATGGCGAAATAGCATTCTTTTCAACATCCCAAGTAAAGATCGGATCTCTGAATGTAGAAACAATTTTAAAATGTGACGTTTGACTTTAAAAGCCCGCCTTTTATGGATATGAACAAGCTTCTTGATGAATTGTTGAGAGCAATTTGCAAGTAAGCGCAATCGCTTGTGCAAATGCGATGTGTTAGGGCTGGTGTTTGATGTTACATTCCTATTATTTATAATATTTTATTAGTCGTAATTGTAAATAGATAATTCTGTAAATTTTTAGCAAAATTAACGTTCCTTATATATTTAAAATTATAGCCAATTCTTCACATTAATATTTATATAACTGGTTAAAAAGTAAAGTAATGTATATATGTAACATTGTTGCAACATTAACCATGATACATTCAAGTAAATCATTAATTTCTTATTTCTACATCCCTCTCTATGGTTTGACAGACGTCACATATCTTCGGAATAATTTGTTTTATTAATCACTACATTCCTTCATTTCCTTCATTAATTCTTGTTAAATGAGCGCTTGTAAACTGAACTATCAAAGCTCTTATTTATTATATTTTTAAATATGGCCTTATTTTAACATGCGCACCTTTACATAATATTTTCATCGATGTAATAAAATGTTATATAATCATTTTTGCCCAACCCCTTCCGTATCAAGATCCTGCACCTCGAACTTTAGAAATTTGACAACCCTGGTGTCCGGTTTAAATTACATACCTACATTCATTATCAAAGTCGTCAACCGCCAAAGCGGACGAAACGCTGCGCCTCGAATCGCTTTGTCCTGTGTCCGTCAAATGCGCGAATGATGAAAAAACAACGACCGCGAACGTTCGTGAACATTGTGAACGCTAACCGAGGAGCGGTTTCGTCCGAACGGGTTCTCGAATGCGGCAGCCCTGGCCCGGGTAATTTCTCGGGCGCAGGTGTACCCGGTGAAATTACTCTCCGACGCACAATCCGATGTGACGCGGAGTTACGTGGCCCGTTAAGCGATGAATCGGCTGTGAGAGACACGAGAAGATGAGGCAGCTTGTTTCTTATGTAATAATGTCTGGGATGTGTTGCTAAAGTCTTGAATAAACTTCAGAGGCAAATGTAAAAATTCCGCGCCTTACCTTATGTGACCTGTACAAATGTGCGGGAAGTCGATGGGTGCAGGTGGCTCAGGATCGTACTTCATGGCAGTCTGTGGCGGAGGCCTATGTTCAGCAGTGGACTCAAACAGGCTGAAATGATGATGGATTATTACCTTATGTATCGTATGGCTTATAGAATCAGTCACTCGTAATTTTTTTACTATCGAACATCTTTGATATTGCTTATACATTTGCGACCGAACCATATCATTATCGATAAATCGATAATTTGGAAAACTATGTCTAAATGACTTATTGATATAGTCCCATATAAGGCGTAGAAGCGAGTGGATATGTGTGTTTTATTCATTTTTATTTAACCCGAAGATATGTGTACACATAGTTTATTACCACATAAAATTCTGTTCGTAACCAAAGCTGAGTCTTCTTCATAATAAATTTCGAACCGAACGGATGTTGCTAATTTATTTTTACGGATAAAGTTTTCCACGCGAACCAAGACCGTGGTCATTATTCATTGTTTATAAATAACGCAAAAACATTTATTTCATTTCGTTTCTTGCTGACCGTAATATTCGCCGAATGTAATGAGTCAGAAGTAAACTTTTGGATTATAATTTTATTAGCCTTTGAGGAGCTAAAAACATACATATAACATATTTAACCGATAAATTTTTAACAAAAAAACCGACTTTAAAGCGGAAACTAAAACACATTGTTAATACCTATAACATTTGAGGATTGCCCTCGATTTCTTTGGGATGCCATCATCAGATCCGGGTTTCCTTATCATGGTACCACCCTTGTGATATCTCCTTTCCAACAAAAAAGAATCATTAAGATCGGTTCATAAACGACGAAGTTATCCGCGAACACACATAAAAAAATAAAGATATATAGGGTCGAATTGAGAAACCTCCTTCTTTTTTGAAGTCGGTTAAAAAAGATATATTTTATTTAACCAAAAATTAACATACAAAAATACATGTATTTTGAACAAACTATGTCATAGTACAAAGAAATTCACATTTATTTTGTTTACTATCAACATTTTAATTTACAAATGTATCGAATGATTTTGATATAAAATTAAATCTGAAATAGAACTCTCATATTTTCAATCCATAGGTGTTGTCAATTTTTAGATTGCCTCAAGCATTTTCCTGTCGGCTTCCACCTTCGAATACGTGTGAAGTTAATAAAGTCATTTTGTTTCTAAAATAAATTTTGTTCGAGCAATTTCGAGGAAATAATGTTTTAGTCAGCGTCATCGTCTCAATTACACATTTAATTTTTTTTCTTAAAACTATGTACGTAGATGCGTAAAAAAACATATAATGTTATCACATTGACGTATCTCTCGCGAGGTGGGACAGCAAAAAATTAACACATACTGCGTCGAGCACCAACCTTGATTGTTCTTTCCTCAATTTTGAAATACCTACCCTCGGAGTGTAAACAATCGGCCTCCGCAGCCTCCTCTATGCTCTTTCGAGCGTGACCGTCCCACACGCGTGTGCATAATTGCTGCTAAATAAAATGCTTATACGAATCAGTGACAGAGCCGAGCCGTTGAATGCTAAGACTGGACTAGTAGGCCCGGCAATGCCCTTTCGCATAGTTCCGAGAACGCATTGTCCGATTACAAAGTGTGTGTATTAAAACAGGCTTCCTTAGACGTTTATGGATTTCATTACACCGTTCAAATGTAACTTAAGCAAACTTTCTATGATTTTAGAACCCCACCCTCGCTTGTATAAGCAAAAAAACGTAATAATGTTTTACAAAACTTTTGTTTAATATGGAAATTTCAATTTAAGAGTAATCTAAAATAGATTACTTACGATTGTTTTACATCAAAAATAAAAAAACAATTAATAATGTGTCTGTCTATCTATTATCATCTATTTATCGTCATTTAAGAAAACTGCCGAAATTCGCTCGAAACACTTTTGCGAGACACTGTTAGAACGAACAGTGGTGCCCTGTGAGTCGAAAAGACGTTCACCCTTTTTTATCCGTGGGAAAGATGGTGGCTTTCCATTTATTATAGCTCAGTAGCGCTTACCTTATAAACTAGATAACTAGTTACCCGGCGTTAGGGTGATTTTATTGTATATCGAATTCTGAAGTCTCGCAACTTCTATATTACAATAAGACTTAAATAGATTGTACGGTAAGATGCAGAATTCTGTTTTTTACTCAGCCAAATTTCCATGCTTTTCGATTCCGATTCTCAGTTAATTTCATACAAAACTTCAAACGCATTTCTTATTTTTTTTGCAAATCCCAAATTTTCCCATCCCAATCCCCTTGCTGTCAAATTGATTACTTTCTTCTATTCTTTGCTTGCTATAATACTCACACCAGTAGATCGTTGGAGTTAGTGAGCGTATTTTTATTACCTACATTTTTATTATACTTTATTCAGAGTTTATCGACCTACTTGGGTCCTGTTTGAAACATGTTTACGTAAACTTTGACGGATTAAGCTGACATAATGCTTCCGGTTACGACTAAATTTTTTTAAATTCTAATCTTTAGCCAAAACAGTATGTTATATAGAAACCTGTTTTTTAAAAGAATAATTTTATTGCATCTAAAATTTGTCACTATCTATTAGCGATGAACCGTCATCATATATATATGATGACGGTTCATCGCGGCGGTTAACCGTCATATATCATATACATCTTCGAAGACTAATTCCGGTCAAATGTAATGAACTTTAAGGTTGGCTGAATTTTCAATTACACCTGCCAAAAAAACTAGGCGGTGAAACTTTTAATTATAGCCCTAATAAATTTTTATTCTTTTAGAATTGATATGAATATTTGTTTTATGTTCTTACATTCCATTGGAATTGCCATAGGGATGCTACATGCCAACATGCTACCGTACTTCCAGAATCGACTTCTCGGACGCAAGGGCTCCTCTGTGACAATGCATTAATGATAAAACGCGCCAAGTATATAAATAGATGCATTTGCAGAGACGTATTGCCATTAAATGAGTATCAATGAAACCATTTGAAATTATAGAATTTATTGCAGTTTATTTTCACAATTAAACAATTGAATGCAGAGACCTCTGTTATCGAGTCGGCTAATGCTCACAGTCATACGAACAGACTGTGCTAAGTTTGCTAGTTAAAGAACGTATATATCTCTAAGGCGATTCTTATGCTAATTGAAAATTTAACAGGTCATTCAAAAGTAACAGCCTATTACATGTCCCACTACTAGGCAAAGGCCTCCTCTGTACAGAGGGTATTACGGTAAAGTACAACCCGCGGCCCCCCTGCGGAAGGGTGGACTTCACATATTTTCGAAATAATTTGTTGTTATTATTTCGAAAATATCCAGGTTTCCTCACGATGTTTTTCTTCATCGCTTAGCACGTGATAAGTTACTCAAATAACAAATTAACTTCTTTTAGTTTTTATTTAACATTGAACTTTCACCATGAACATTTCTGCATCTCATGAGCATATAAGAACATGGTTGACGACATTATAAAAATATTACTATCTTTGTTTGTTTGCGTATGCCAGGCATATATATATACCATATATGCGACGTAGCCTTCGATCCTTACGTATTCGGAAGAAGAGTAATTTTATATAATTACATTTTAAACCATCATTTCAAAATTTTAATCAGCCTTAACCTCACGGGTAGTTAAGTTAGTGTAATAAACAGATGGTAAATACCTAAAGATACCGTTGGTTCGATTCCCACGGCGGCGACAAACTTTACGTCCCTTTTTCTGCAAATTTTAATGTTTCATCTTAAGTGCAGATATTAGCACTAGAAAAAATTAGAGAATCTATTCTTTATCGATTTTGTCTCGTTTAATTAAAATTATTAATTCCTCACGATTCAAATACTTTGCAGTTTCCAGTGTTTTTCCTCAAAAACTGACAAACGCTTGAATACCATCTCTACTGAGAACAATAATTAATACATACAGAACGGACTGTCTGCGGCTAAAATAGTACAGTAAAGGGTACCTTTTTTTTCCTTACAAGTTCGTTAAACATATATTAGATACATAAAATAGGATTTAAAAACGACTCCCCTTTAGCCGAGTAGCCGAACGCAGTTAAGTTGTGCCACGAGACGAGGCAAAGCACAAAACGATGTAGGTGCCTCCAACTCCAAAGAACGGCTCGCTCCACTTGCTTTCGCGGCCCATAGTTGCAGATGCAGTTTGCAGTTACACAGATGCACGTTCATTCAGGGCTGGCACAAATAATGAATGCAGGCAGAACGATAATTTTTTGCGCACCACAGCCCTGATCGCAGTAACATGCATTTTAACGGATATATTCTTATATTGAAATTAAAGACCCGCCCTGGCTTCGCACGGGTGCAATGTATTATACATATAAACCTTCATCTTGATCTATCTAGTTAAAAACCGCATCAAGATCTGTTGCGTAGTTATAAAGATCTACGCAATACATAGGGATAGACAGACAGGCGGGACAACTTGTTTTATACTATGTATATATATTATATAAAACAAGTTGTCTCAATATACAATTCAAGGTTTTGTTTTGTTGTTCACGTCATGTTAAGTATCTACCACCGTCCATCTACAACATCTAGGACGTTACAGATGCGTTGCCAACCTGTTGAATACGTCATAATGCTTCCATTTTAAGCCAGTCTTCTATGAGGCCGTGGATCTTCTCCTATGATGCCGAAAATTGAAACCGTTGGCAAGGGTTGGTAATACAATAAAACGACCGTAATTTACTCAATGCATCATGTGCCAACCCTAAGTCCCTAATAGAGCTTCTTGTTCAGATCGTACGAGTTCAATTATCTTATCGACAGTTAATAACGATCGACAGTTTGCGTTGATGCGCCGACCCTAATTCTAAGAATGATTGGTTTGTTAAAGCTAATGAGAGTGCTATGTTCAAAAATTGGAAGCGTACGTTGATCTTTCCTAGTAACACACTGCTAAGGTACCTAAGTATCAAGTAGCAAGTATCAAATGATGTACATAATACAATAAAATAAATTACTAAATATACCATTATCAGTGTTCATCTGCAATATCACTCGGTAAGTCCATTTTGTGTGAATCAAGTGTGTAGGCTAGACAAGTCAGAATTAATTAATTCTTGTCCCAAGCTCTCATCAACGATAAAACTAATGTCCAATTTTTATATCAATCCCATTAGTCATTGCGGCGCGAATGATACAACAAACTTAGAACTTAGATATCATAGAAACTTTCGTAATCTTAACGATAGTGTGCGAAATATTTGTGTATGAATTACAAAAACTTTCAACGCCCGCATCCATGAGAGTTATGCCAGAGTTGAACTATTTTAATATAATCATTGCGTACTTCATGCAACTTGGTTTAGTTTCAATCGGCGTAAATTAAGCGGAACGTAACAAAGTAGCCAAATAACACTGACGATAAGAGTGATAAATAGAAAAAATCATATGCTATTATCTGCAACTAAATCTCAAATGATGGGAACTTTAGAAAATAATGAAAGTGAGGTAAACGTTTTTCCGAGAAAAATTGCTTTTGTAGCCCAATATCAAAGTAGCCAAGAAATTGCTTAGTAATGTTCTAAGTAACCATTTAACAGTAATCTGACGCGATGAGAGCTTTATTAATTGATGAAAACGTGTTAAAGACATTTCTAAGTACATATTAAACTCAAGTAAATTGAACATTATGCTAAGCCATCGTAACATATACGAAGTCGCAAGGCATCATCAATTTTGGTACGGGATATACCGTTAAAACAGGCTCTCGGATGCATTAACCCTAACGGGGTGAGAAGTTAACTAATGCCGTCAGACCTAACTACATTTGCCGCTGTGTTATCCTAACGGGGTAGAAGTTAACTGATGCGCGACAGACTTAACTACATTATCTGTTGTGTGCTTGTAATTATTGAAGCAATTTACTCGTGTTTTTTTTAAACTTAAAAACATTGTCCTCTCTTTAGGATAAGAACGAAATAAAGAAAGAGATTTATCTTACATAAAACATACTGGCGTACACAACAATCAGTTAAAACAATTAAAATTAGACAACTAAAAAAACATGAACATAAAACTCCAATATTTATATTTTCCCTTTTCATTATTGTACGTCGCGGTTTATACCAAAATGGACATCAATCAGCAGAATGTTGCAGTGAAACTGACATTATCCTGTGTTGTAACGAGGTTTTACAAACATAAATTTCACGCGTGACTAACATCCAGATGCGAAACAATTATTTGTGGGTCACACAAATAGCTGTCCCCGAACGACCCCCCGAAGTCAATACCTTGACAATTGTGCCACGGAGTGTTTTTATATGAATGATCTTCTTAATGATCAGACTAATCAATTGAAAGAGTTTATTTGCCTTTTGGCAACTCAAATAACATTTTAAAAGCCATTTGACAGCTGATTAGTTGATTTCTACGATGATCAGTTTCAGAAAACGGGCCTAAGTATCTCAGTTACTCGTTACACATACGAATAATCGTCAGCCGCAGACTGTCAGGTGGTATTGTGTCGGCAGAGCTAAGTAGGGCAGATCTATGAGCGACCCGGCGACACAATGGACAGGCGCACACGCAGCGAACTAGGACGCTACGCGCATATTCTACATTTTTTTTATGTGAAAAGTTGCCAAGCGAGCAGGCGGCTCTCGTAGGCACTCAGGTCTAAATTTTTTGAATGTAAAAAAACGGGATTAACCACCCAGAATTGAAACAACTACCTGTGGGTCAAACAAATGCTTGTCCCGAGTGGTAATCGAACCCACTGCCGGCGGCGGCGAAGCCAGTAACTTAGCGACCGCGTCACAGTAAAGGTTGACTTATACAAAACGGCTACAATAATTTAGTCCGCACTTTAGATTCTTTAGTTCATATGAGATCCAAATCCAATAAAGATGGAATAAATTAATTAATAGATAAAGTTCCTTGCAACTATGTGTACAACGATACAACTTTGCATAAAGTTGCATAGTTCTTTACGATCTCAGCTAGACCGTGACCAATGGAAATTGTGTGGTCTTTTGATAATGATCATATTACGATGCCAATATCTCGGGTAATATCTAAAGCACTTACAAAATAACCATACCCGAAGTACAGTCAGTAGAACAGCTAGTGGAATCTTTAATTGCATACCATACCGCACCTAGGTAAAAGCAAAAATACATGGTGTATCATGACTTGTCTTCCAGTATATAGCCAAGAGACGTCGTCAATAAATCAAATTGGAGCCTTCTTTCTTTGGATGTTTCGCGATAAAAATTCTAAGAATATGAACTGCAAACGACACCTATCTACGTGAAAGACACGCGTTTGAGTTTATCATTCTCAGGTTCTCAAATTTATTTATAATAGGAAATCGTAGAAAGAGAAATTTGTAGAAAAATATATTTTCCTATTATAGTTGCTGTATGATATCAACGAGCTATATAGTTTAGATACTTTAAACCGTCTTATAATTTTCTCACTCCAAATATTATACACCAGAAAGTATTTAAAGCGTATAAGTGAATACAAATTTGAGAACTGATCATAATGTGAGATGAATTGACTTGAATCCTCGGAATAATAATGACCATTGTTTTTTTTTTGCACAGATCATGTTCCGCGGCGGAGTGGTTGGCGGGTTGGACGCGAGGCGCGACGCTGCTCTCGCCCGAGTGCTGGTACGGCTGCAGGCGAGGGCCAGGGGCCTACTCGCTCGACGACGCGCAGAGCGACTTCGCACTCAGCACACGGCCGCCCGGTTAGTGGACTAACATTCTGTAATGTGTGCTTGAGTGTACATGGAGAGCTTGAGCCATACATCGCGGCCGTATACTCGCTACAGTGCTTGATTGTACCATCAGGGCGAGCTGACACTAAAGACTCTGATAGGTTTTGAGCGTTTCACTGTGAAAAATATTGTGTAGGACAGAACCCCCGGTTAGTGGAATAGCATTCTGTAATGTGTGCTTGAATGTACATTGAGAGTGAATGTTCCATATTCCTTTGGAAGCTTGAGCGTATATAGAGACTTTACTCGCTATCGTGCCTGATTGTACCATCACGGTGAGCTGATACAAAGACCTAACACGACCTAAGACGGAAACGTGTTTGAGTGTTTCACAGTGAGCGATGTTAATCCTAGAAGTTACTGTTTTGTTAGCATTCATAAAGCAGGGGTATGCTTTGAAACATTTCTTTTCAACGTTGAGTTAAGTCACGTCTAGTTGACGTTCCAATATAGATCGATGGCGTCTTAAGAAATTCTTCCTGGGGATTTCGTTACCTTCAAAGTATTTAAAGTCGCAGAAAATTGGGTCTAAAATGCATTTCTTGTCTTAGTTAAAACTTTTCCGCCATTTTACGCTTTTGCTAATATAATTTAAAGCACATTAACTTGAACTAATACCTCATACACTTTGAAATTACGTGACCTGCGTTCGCGGTTCATCCGATCGGTATGTGACTGATAAAACACGTTCCAGAAAATCTTCATAAGCAAGATTGGATTGATTGTTGATTTTTATCGCTATTCGCGAATTTAACATCTATTTCCGGAAACCGCAATATCCTATTTCGTGGGTATCCAGCATTTAAGATTATATTATATATTTGGAGGTAATTACCGAATCATTCCTATAAAAAGATTTCAGCTAAATACCTGTAATATTTTATCTGTGCCAAACTTTGAAACAGATCTCGTCTAGGATCTGTTTATATTATTGAATTTACGTCTATAGAAAAATAATTATGTGAGTGAACCTTTGAACAAAACTGTGATACTTTGCCATAAATCGGCAGATTCCCTTTTCAACATCCCAAAGAAATACCCAAAAGAGAGAGTCGTGATAACTTAGTGTCCGGACGCTCGCTTGTAATTCAATATCCTAAAGCAACCTGAGATCGAATCCAAATTCCGGCACCGATGAAATTATTAATTATGATGTAAATATGTGGTATATGAATATGTAAAGTCTGCCAATCCGCAGTTGGGTCGAGTGGTGGACTATGTCTTAATACCCTCTGTACAGAGGAGGCATTTGCCCAGCTGTGGGATATATAGGCTGTGACTGAAAAGCTACACTTGGCGGAGTCGCGCTCATTGCTGCCGGAGATGTCGCCGGCGATAGCCTTATGAAGCCAACATAGGCTGTTACTTCGCTTTAATTTTAACAGGCAGGCAGTAATATTTCAGTATCGTCCATTTCCACCGTCAGATGTGTTCAACGCAACGTGCGCGCTTTCCTCGCGGTGCGCGACTGGCCGTGGTGGCGGCTGCTGGTGCGGGTCACGCCGCTGCTGGCCGTGCACAGGACCGAGCACAGGCTCAAGCAAGCACAGGTCAGTACAAATCTAATGAGCCACAGGCCTTTCCTACAATTCGGGCTAGTTCAAAGACACGTGATGTACGACCGTTTGAAATTTAGATCAGTCCTTAGGACCGATAGAAACTCCGATGTCGTGAGAATCTCACTAGTCACGGGCGTTTCCTACGATTTTGGCAAATTTCAAGGACACACGAAGGTCATAATGTACTGTCGGTTTAAATTCAGACCAATCCAAAGGACCGATAGAAACTCCAGTTTCGTGAGAACCCCATGAGCCACGGGCGTTTCCTTCAATTTGGGCTCGTTTCAAGGACACCTGAGGTCGTAACGTACCACCAGTTGAAATTTAGACCAGTCCAAAGGACTGATAGAAAATCCAGTGTCGTTAGCTTCGTGATTCTTTGTATCCACTGTACGGTTAACCTAGGGTTATTTTATATTCTATTGTTAGCTGATGCACAATCTTTGGAGATTGAAATACATACATGAAGCATACATTAGCCAGACGAGCAACTTACGGGATTAATTTGCTGGCATACTCTGTCCTCTTATTCTGGAGAAAAATGTGACACACTGGACTTAGCGTTTTAAACGCTTTTATCGATGGTTGTATAAGTATCGAGATACACTTGACGAAACATTTTCTTGTCGACTACGTCGTGACACCAATTATAATGAATGCAAATATGATGACTGTATATCAAAAAGTACTCTTATATTCCATCGTGTGCGACGCCAATCATCGGGGCCGAATAACCAAGGTAAAGAGATACTAATCGTTCCTCTCCATATTGTCTGTATTAAGGATCTGAGTAACATATTAGTGCCAAAAGCTTTACGATTGTATGCTGGACCTATGATAAAATTCTGTTCTTTGTGGTGACATTGAGTCTAAAGATGCAATCATATGGTGTACGTTCAAATGTCATTTATGCGCAAAAATTTAAATTAAAAACGAAACTGAACTCGCAAGTATGATATCGCTACTGCTAGCATAATTAGTGTCACCGAGTTTTTTTTTTTATTAATTATACCTAAAAAGTGCGGGTGAATATTATGCATTACACTTGATTGTCTTTAATTTACATGTTTTTTACTTATTACCTAATTGAAAGTATGGATTAATATATAAATGAATTATTTTATTATGATGGCTCTGTACAGTGCATAAAGTATAAATAAATAAATAAATAACACTAATGTACAGACTCATTTATGGAAGTAACACGACCTCACAGAAGACCGGCGTAAAGTGGAAGTAATACACTTTGAAATCGTAACTGACATGTGAATTTCCGATGCTCTCGTAATTTGTAATCTAACTCTAGTTTATGGCCTGCGATTGCACAAGCAAAACAAATTTCGTAACCTCGAAAGTATTACACATTAAGTGCACACGTTTAATTTTCACATGATTTGAACCGCATCCCACTTGATTAAACATTATGTAACACTTTTTTACTACTCTGCTCGCTTCGTTATAATTAATTATGTATAAGTGTTGGCAATTATATGTTTTAAGACTCATCAGACTTGGTTATTAATTGTGAACATTTAAAATTTATGTAACACATTGTAAGTGAAATTAATATTTTAATTAACCAAGTAGAGATGTGGTACTCGAGTAATGAGTAATAAAGTTCTTTATTATCGTTTATACAAAATGGTGGGTGATAGTTTTTAATTTTGTACAGCGCAGCGACCAAGGTCAATCTTGTCAAACAGTATACATTATATTTATTTATTTTAAACACATGCTTGAGTACAAAAATGTCATCAAATTGTAGTCGACATTCCCCTCATAGTGTGAACCATGGGTTATATGTCTCATCATTAGTAGTGAGTCCAGCTAGTTCAACTAAAAACGTATTTTTCTATTTGGCTCTTTTTCATGGAAAAATTTGGCAGCTAACTTGATGTGAAGTGATACCGCGGCCCATGGTTTAAACAAACCTGAAGGGTAGCAGACAGGTTGCCAACCTTTAAAAAAGTGGCACCAATTACCTCACACATCAGATATATTATACTTCCACTTCACGCCGGTCTTCTGTGAGGTTGTGGTATTTTCCCGCACAAGCCTGCTCATTCGTGCAACAGCCGAGGCTGTTGCGTGGCCCTACCACATTATATTAATTACAATTTTAATTACATTAAATTTTTATTTAATTCACACATCTTATACAAAATTTACCATGAGTATTGCACGAGCTGCCGTGAAACGGTGGACCACAAGTGTTCCACTTCCATTTACCGATAAAGAACGCAACAAATCCGTCGTCAAAAGGTTATCTCCACACGATAGCTTGTCCGTGCGTCTCGTGTTCGAATCCATCGCCGCCGCGAGCTGCAACAGGTCAATGACCCGAAACATCCATGGAGTAATATGGCCCCCGATACGGAAGACGCGGGATACGGGAAGAGAGAGGCTCGCCATAGCTTAATAGTTGACAGGAGATAAACTTTATTGTTACTAATTACGACCACTAACTCAAATACGTGTTTCCGGTCCTAAAGTGTTTACATTTATTATTTATGTCGTTACCATTTTTACGACTGCTTTGTAGACTTTCGTTTTTATATTTAACGATTTTATGATTTTGTAATAGCAAACTCTTAATTATAGAAGTGAAAAGAAAGCTACTTAATTTTCTAAGCTTTCAAATGAAACTGTTGCGTTCATTGCAAAAACATTTTTTCAGTATGGTTTGTAGAACTTCTTAACAGCACAGGAAAACTTTACCCTAGGATAGGCGTATAGTTTTATATGAGCAGTTTATAATATTACAAAACAAGTTGTCACGTGTCAAGACACTAGAAAGAAAGAAATATTACTTAATCTATGTATGCAGACGTGTACTTAAATGCGAAGACTGCAACTCACCCTCGCGGATCTAATTACATTCTCGACCACGTACTTCCTTATTAAGTAGCTCAAGCTGAAGTCGATTGACTTTGCCAATATTAAAGCTACCCAGAATCATATCTCGGTACCGGTGCCGATGATATTGTTTCAATTTTATGTGCCGCTTACTTTTTGTGCTTTTTTCACTAGTCATTTTACTTAGAAACGTCTTTTTAGGGTTCCGTACCCAAAGGGCAAAGCGGGGGGACCCTATTACTAAGACTCCACTGTCTGTCTTTCGGTCTGTCACCAGGTTGTATCTCATGAACCTTGATAGTTACAGTTGAATTTTTCACAGATAATGTATTACTGTTGCCGCTATAACAACAAAAAAACCTATGGCATTTTTTTCGCCCCCGAATCTACACACATACTATTTCATGAAAATCGCTGGAGCCGTTTGCGTTTAAAGTTTTTTTTGTTCGTTTAAGGGTATTAGAAACATTTATTTTTATTATGCAGTATTTTTATTCTTTCATATTAATTCAAAATACACTTTTTGACCGATAAGAAAACTATTTTTTTCTTTTATTGAATAAATGTGAAGTTAATATAGTTTAAAATATTTTTATTCTACAAAACATGTAGGTTATTTAGGAATTTTTATCATTGAAACTATAAGTTTATGGTAACTGAAATAAGAAACATTAGTTTGAGACTTGAATTACTACTATTCTTCTACTTCCGATGAAACGATAACTGATTTTTTAAAAAGAACTTATTGACCAGTAGGCCAGACTCCATAGAAATTGAACTATAATTCTAAGTAACCAACACAATCGTTATTAATTCGGGTAGAGCTTCAGCACGCTACGACGGCTGACGATAAACTGAACGAACATAATGAGCGCTGCTCGTTGCCATAGCCCTTTGCAGTGTTGCCATTGGATATTTTGATTCATTTCTAACAATATTATAATATCCATCCGTGGGAGCTTCGTACAGTCGTACCATACACATACACGTTAAGTGAACGGTCGGCTGAGCTACATTTTAGGCGGAGATGGGGGTGTTAGGTTTTATTTTCGTTACGTTATTTCTTGATTCGGTCGCCTGCTCAATGCCAATGTTAATAGCTTAATAATAAAAAACAGAATAAAAAAGATTTAAGTGGCGCTTCCATACAACAGGCATGATTTTTATTGCCGTTTTTATAGATAATATGGAACCCTTTGTACGCGAGTCCGGCTCGCACTTGGTCGGTTTTTTTGTGCCTCACCGATATTCACCGCCTTCATAAGTCTGCAGTCCGTCACATTAACGGACTTGTGAACTTGACTGTACCGGTTCTCGGTATATTATGCGAGGCTAGTGCATCGGTAAGTTAATAATACCATTTGTAACTGTACCGGTGATGTAAAAACTGATGGGATGTTAATGGATCTCGATACTAACAAATACGTCGTAAAGGAGCCTCGTTCGTCTTTATATCGCACATCATCGGAATACGTACCTATCTGCAATATGATATATTACTTGGTCGAAGTACATTTTGTTTATTATCTTATTTATATCTTTATGGCGTTTTTATAATGAACTTCCTAGGTACTACACTTACAATTAATATTAAAAGTCGACAAACAAGATACGAGCGGTACTTACGGCATAATGAGGTAATTTTTTCTCGCGGTTGAAATAAAACTCTTCTGATATAAGCTTAAGGGCTTTATCGACTGTAGTAGGACCACGCAGCAGCCTCAGCTGTTGCACGATTGGACAGGCTCGTCTGGGTATGTACCACGACCTCACAGAAGACCGGCCTGAAGTGGAAATATAATAAATACTTTCGCGTTTCGTCTGTTGAGTGAAGTAGCTGGAGCCAATTTTCAAAAGGATGCCAACGCATTTGCAACCCTCGGGTGTAGCAGATGTCCATGGGCGGCGGTATTTACTTAACATCAGGTGAACCGCCTGCTCGCTTGGCAACTTTTCACATAAAAAAAAGATTAATTACTACTTAATATTATATTCAAAATAGTGTCATAATTGGAAAAGATTTTAGGTGAACTAATTACCCATCTGACAGGTAAAAAGGCCGGTTTTCCCGCGTAGCATATCATAACACATTGTAACGTTCTTATTGCTATGAATAACATGGTAAACGTAAAACG